TACAGGGAGTGAGAAAACAGAATTATTGCATCCTTATAGAATGAGGTCACAAAATCATTACAGTGAGTGAGACATAAGAGACTTCTCATAAACCATTCCATATATTGCTTAGAAGTTAATCTATCAAAGACGTATGTTCTCTATATGAACAAATATAATAGATTGGTTACAAATACCAGGTGGTATAGTTCTGTATTTCACGGGAAGAACATGTGTATTCACTAGATTATACGTCAGTATGTACCCACTCTTCTTATCAGAGTTCTGTGATTGATAAAGAGGAAGCTAAGCCATGCTGATTGTTACAGTGTTCCCGAACGTGTGGGCGTGGCACTCAGACTCGTGACGTCAGCTGTTACGCGTCCGAGCAGTCTAATACTGTGGTGGATGTGACACGCTGTCCCGGACAGGAAAAGCCGATTGGTTTCAAACACTGCTTGCTTGAACCTTGTAATACCAACGTGGGTAAGGAAAATCTAACACCTAGTTACTAGAATCGTGTTATAACCAGTAACATAGTATTATATTTATATAATCAACTGTAAACACCACACCGTAATTACTGTGCTGTAATGAAGACCCTGTAATTAACACCTGTTATAGCCATTTTCATTAACATTATGTTGTTTTAACCTGTAATTACTACCCGTTTATATGTTGTTAACAATATAAAGCCATTAGCACCATGTAGTTAACACATCTGCTTACCACATTGTAATAAACACACGACTACCACCATTTTGTTAAAACCTTGTAATTAGCACCATGGAAACAGCACACTATTGAGGTAGTTTAATACGTTATTTTCAACCCCTTGTCATTGTGATTAGCACCTTGTACTGACTATATTGTAATTAGTGCATTCGATCAGTTCCATGTAATAGCATATTTATACACTGTTACAGTTCATTTTACCAGAATCAATTTTCCCGATACTGGAATGCAACCTATTCCACTAAATTCAAATATGCTTATAATCACAACTGAAGCTACAGTTGTCAGAACTGCTATATTTATTTATACTCGTTAGAACTGTGACAGTTTAAGCGTAGGTTTGACTTCTGTGGTACGATTTAAGTTTGCAAGAAGACTAAGTTAACTTAGACTATCATAGACTAACTATAATTTGAGGGACTTCTTTGACCAATGTGGTATATTTAAGTTGGAGTTGAGGATATCTTTTCATAAATTAGACCCCTGATGTGTATTTATGGCGGAGGAAAGATTAGCGTATACTGACCAGTTTGGTTTATTGTAGTTGGAGCAGTGAACAAATGAACATAGATTTGATCAATTTATTTTACTTCAGTTGGAAGTAGCTGTCGAAACAAGGTGGACTGTACTCAGTATGCTGACAACATCTGTGAGGCGTCGGAATACCGGTCCTGGGTCAGCATTAACTGTATGGAGTTCTGTGGCATCTGTGCCAAGAACCTCACAGGTGAGCAACACATTACCTCCCCTTGTTAAGGCGTGCTATATCCCCTTGTTGTAGTTACCTAATACCATAACAATTTGTATACTCTTGTTGTACCCACCTAGATCACCTCCCATAGTAACCTCTAGATTCTTGTAATTACATAATAACATAACAAGTTGGATCAACTTGTTGTAGCCATCTTCATCACCTCTCCTGGTTACAGCTATTCATGTTGTATTGTAGTGGGGCTGTGAAATTTTGATTCTATTGCTTCTGTTTTTTATTTGTCTGTATTTGGTATTTCAGTTTTCCTGTGCAAAGATAATATAACTAACTGTGATACGTACGAAAGGGGGTTCTGTCAGAAGTACACGGCCTGGGCTGAGTCTAACTGTCAGCGAACGTGCGGCTTCTGTGAAGGTAAGGCACTCAAATTGCTGTATAAACAAGGCATCTCCTGTTTACCACAGCAAGGTCTAATACAATTTATGTTGTGTCTACCAATAAATTGAAACTGGTTGAACATTTTACAAAAATCAGATTTAAAAAGATTGAATTTTAAGATCATCTAATTGTGTTTTTCGTAATACAATCTGGATTATGTTTTCTTTTTTTCCCGGAGCAGTAGATGGCATTGATCACAGTAAGATGTTTGTTCCGTAGTCAGCTTTATTTACAAGTAGAAGTCAACGGTTTAATGCTTTGCTGTTGTTGCTGAAAAGTGTGAATTACAATAAATGGGAAATAAGCAGATCAATCAACTTGAATGAAATTACATAAATAAAAATCAACGTTGTTGCAGAAAACATAACAGATATAATTTAATATAAAGATATCGTTAATTTAGAAAGTGTAAAAACAATATGCATATATTTATAATTTGAATCTGAATGTATTTATAACTGTTGATGTTCATCAAAGAGAAGTTACTCATTTTGTAAAAGTGTGCCGCTTGAAAAACAAATGCTAGAGACCTGCTTAAAATAGCAAAGCTTTAAAATCAGCTGTACATATAACCTGACAATGCGTTGAAAAGCTTTGAGAAGATGTCAAGCAGTTCCTGTCTTGGTAATATTGGGTAATGTTTAAAACAACCTGTACGGTTACGTATGTATACATGAACGGTCATAAATAAACGCTTATATGATGTATGTATGTAAACCTGCATGAGTATGTATGTAAATGTGTATGGTTATACATGTACACAGGCGGTTCAACAGATGTTAGCACCACCACCGAGCCATGCGTTGACAAAATTTACTGCGCTGTTTACCAGAGAGATACATGTACCAACAAAGCCTACCGAGGGTGGGCAAAGGCACATTGTCGCCAATTCTGTGGTTTCTGTGGGACTGGTAAGACTACAAGGATAGGATGACTGG